TAATAATAATAATAATAATAGCAATAATAATAGCAATAATAATAATAGCAATAATAACAATAATAAGAGTAATAACAATAAAAACAATAATAATAATATAGTGACATTTGTATTTAATATACAATTTATTACAAATATGGGATGTTTATTATTATGGAATTTGTATTTGTTATTGAATGTTGGTTTTTTTTAATTTAATTAATTAATTATTAATTTTTACTGCTATCGAATGATTTATGTCGGGTGCAAAGCAGACGCAGGGCTGGCTCAGGGCTCGTCATTCCCAGGGATGTGCTCCCAAAATCCCCCATCCCTGGGAACGCTCCCACCTCCTTCCTTGGAGAACCCCTCGCACCGCACTGTTCCCTTTGGGAATTGTCTCCCTTCCTTCCTCCCCTTGGCAGAACCTCTTCGTTCCCAGCGGAGCCCTGGTGGACCTCCAGAGTTACCAGAATTCCCGTTTCGGCTCCTGCATCGCCGCCGTTCCCGACCTCAACCAGGACTCCTACAACGACCTGGTGGTGGGGGCCCCGCTGGAGGACGAGCACCAAGGAGCCGTCTACGTTTTCCTCGGATTCCAGGGCACCATCCTGAAGAAGTACAAGCAGGTGGGCCTTCCCCGAGCTTGCTTTTCCTCATCCTTCATGGGAATAAATACCATTTGTCCCTGTTTTAAGGATCGGTGGGGCGGGACAAATCCACGCCCGGGATTTAATTGTGAATTATTGCGGACGGATATTTCCTCTTTTGAGGCATCCGAGAGAAAACGTTGGAATTCAAGCATTGGAACGGCAGGGGTGGAGTCCCCATCCCTGCTGGGGTTTAAGATGTGGCACTTGGGGACGTTTGTGGTGGCCTTGGCAGTGCCAGGGGGTGCTTGGACTCGACAGTCTTGGATGGCTTTTCCAACCTGAGTTATTCCATGGAATAGTGGGGGGAAAGGCTGGGAAGTGGAGGCAATGTTAGCATTCATTGCAAGGGATTGCTATAGATGTATGAATTAACTGATTAATTGATAGTTATTTTTATTTAAATTTATTTAAATCTATTTTTATTTATTTTATTTTATTTTATTTTATTTTATTTTATTTTATTATTACACTTTTGATAAATGTTTAGCATTCATTGCAAGGGATTGCTATAGATGTATGAATTAACTGATTAATTGATAGTTATTTTTATTTAAATTTATTTTTATTTATTTTATTTTATTTTATTTTATTTTATTATTACACTTTTGATAAATGTTTAGCATTCATTGCAAAGGATTGCTATAGATGTATGAATTAACTGAATAATTGATAATTATTTTTATTTACTTTATTTAAATTTACTTTTATTTTATTTTATTTTATTTATTTAATTATTACACTTTTGATAAATGTTTGGCATTCATTGCAAGGGATTGCTATTAGATGTATGAATTAACTGATTAATTGATAGTTATTTTTATTTATTTCATTTAAATTTATTTTTATTTTATTATTTTATTTTATTTTATTTTATTTTATTTCATTTTATTATTTTATTTTATTTTATTTTATTTTATTTTATTTTATTTTATTTTATTTTATTTTATTATTACACTTTTGATAAATGCTAAACATGCAGGGCAAATCCAGTGGAAATCTCGGATGGTGTCTCCAAAGAGAAATTGCTTTCAAGGCAAATGTTTTCTCCCTTCCAAAGAGAAATTCCCTGGAAAACCATGTTTGGCAGAACCTCTTGGAACGGGGAGTTTCCATGGGCGAGGCGGAGCCGGCCTGGCAATCCCTCGGCGGGCAGGGCTGCTCCTGCTGGGATCCAGCCTGGATCGTTCCCGTTCCTTTCCAGCGGATCGCGGCCGCCGGCCTCGCTGCGGGCCTGATGTATTTTGGGTGCAGCATCCACGGGCAGCTGGACCTGAACGAGGACGGGCTGGTGGACCTGGCCGTGGGCTCGCTGGGCAACGCCGTGGTGCTCTGGTGAGCCGGCCGTCCTCGGCGCCCTCTCCCCATCTCCTCTGCCCAACTCATGCCAAAGGTTTTCCAGGAAAAACTGGTCTCCCAGCATTCCCAACCATCTTTCCTGAATAATCACCCGCTGCCCAACGGGGCTGTGGGGTCTCGCTACCCTCGGGCCCTGAAAAGATGCCAGGCTTGGTTTTCCATTGGGTTTCATCCGTAGTTCTCCAGAAATTCCGAATTTGTGGGGATTTGCCCAGGCTCCTTCCTGTCTGGTTTAATTAGAGCAACATTTTCAAATGTTAATTAATGTTTGGAGAGTCCCTGGAAGCTGCTGGGATGGAGGGTGGCTGTGCCCAGCCGAGATGGGTCAACCTGGGCTCTGCTTGGAGAGCGCCTTCGGTCTTCCCAACCTTCCGTGAAAAGGAGGGAAAAGGAGGGAAAAAGGCAAAGCTGGAGCGGTGGGAGACTCCAGGATGTCCCATCCCGAGCCAGTGCCCATCCCGTGGCCTCTCCCGACCCCGCAGGTCCCGCAGCGTGGTCCAGATCAACGCCAGCCTCCGCTTCGAGCCCTCCAAGATCAACATCTTCACCAAGGACTGCAGGCGCAACGGGAAGGAGGCCACCTGCATGAGGGCCTTCGTCTGCTTCACTGCCCTCTTCCTCTCCGCTCGCTTCCAGACCGCCAGCGTGGGTAAGGACAGAACCCCAATTCCTGCCTTGCTCAGGTCTCCAGCCCCGTGGAAAACCCAACTTTTGGGATGGAAACCATCCAGGAGCTTGGAGGAGCTCACGTGTCCATCTGGTGCTTTGATGGCACTCGCGTTTGTCCCTGTCCCAGCCGAGTCTCCGGGTTCTGGTGGTGCTTCTGCCAAGGCAACACCCTCAGGATGAATCCCACCCCGTCCCTCACCTATTCCCTGGGCTGAGCTCTCCTGGGATTTGCCTTTCCATGCTCTGCGTGACGGGAATGTCACGCCAGCGGGACAGGAGAGGACGTGCCCGGCCCGCGTTCCCCGGGGCTCCTCCCGCCTCCCGCGGGACACAGCTGCTGGCCAGATGTGCACGCTCCACATTCCATTCCCGGGGAATCCGTGTGGCTGGCCCAGCTCTCCCGTTAAACCCCTGGATGGTGCCGCGACCCCGAGTGATCCCGGCGGATTCCCGGGAGTCAGCGGAGCGGGGCCGCGGCAGCGGCTCAGCCCCTGCGGGCCAGCAGCAAACACCGGCCCAGGAAAATCAGGATCCAAAGCCAAAGGAAAAGCTCCCATCACTCAGACCAGGAGTTTAGTTTTGCTCTGTCAAATCCAGCTTTTTTTTTTTTTTTTTCCCTGCTGCTGTCCCTGTGGGATAAAAACTGAGTGGGATTTCCTTATTTAATTGATTTTACCTTATTTCCCCTGGAAATAAGGAGTCGCCCCCTGGATGAGCGTCTCTGCTCTGGAGCTCTCTGGGAGAGCTGAGGGTGTCCAGCCAGGAGAAGGGGAGGATCCAGGGAATCCTCAGAGCCCTGGGAATGTTCCCTGGAGAAGGGAAGGATCCAGGGAATCCTCAGAGCCCTGGGAATGTTCCC